TCATTTAATCTATAAGTTCTAAACAAAAATTTAGTTTATAAAAATATTTAAATAACAGATCAATTTGCAAACCGCGATAATCGAACAATCAGGTATGCAGTGATCTACAAATTGATCAAAAAGTACATCAATTTGCAAACCGCGATAATTAATTGTTTCTCATAACATGTGAATTTAAAAATGACCCCGCCCGGCTTATAATTTTTTAATTATAAAAATTTTATATGTTTATTATCCAGAAAATATTAAAAAACATATAATTTTTTTTTTTAAAAAATTTTAAAAAAACCCACCCGGAAGTATTCATATCAATAACATAAATTTTTTCTCGAAAATTTATGAAAATTTACAGAAGCTGACCGACCGGGTTATGAGAAACAACTAATTAACTTTATATAGCCTAAGGGTCCACATATAGGTTTGATCTTATTAGTTGACCGACCACCCCAACATATACGTAATGTACGGGAGATCTATTTGTAGCACTAATTAACGTTAGCCACACATATTTAAACTAACTCAGTGAAAAGAACTTGTGTTCTGTTTATTAATTTCCTTATTTTGATATTATCAGTTATTTTTTAAATAATTTTTAGTAACATTTTATATGATAAAACATAAAATGACACTCAAAAATTTTTTCAATTCACTCTTATCTTCTCGGGGTGCTTATTATCTGATCAATCCTAATAGAAGATATATTAAATTAAAATTATGCTTTTTTTTTCGAGATGGTTCTTATTCTTCAATGAATTTTCTTAGTTTATTCTTATCAACCATTTTTTTATTACCAAAATCACTAATCGGTATACTATTGTCCGTGATGCCATTTATTGGATTCGTTAGCTCGACTTGTTGGAGTGTAAGATTAAATTTATTTTGACGAATTATTAATGTAAATTGACCAAATCATCATTAATTAATTTGAAAATATTTGATTAAAAGATTCTTGCAGATAGATTGGATATACATCGTAGGATTATGGTTTTATGTATTACATGTGGTATCTTAATGTTTTGGTCTTTACCATTTTCTGGAGAATATTTTGGTTTTGTTGGTCTTTTTATCAACTTTGTTCTTTATTCAATATTTGATGGGGGAGTTTCACCATTGATGGATAATCTAAGTATAAGTATGTATTTTCATTTTATTATAAATATTATAAATTTTCTTGTAAATTTTTTTATATCTTTTAATGAATTATAGATATATTAAATCGTAAAGGAGATCCTACAGAATTTGGACGCCAGGTAATTCGCCTTATCCACATTAAGCCATCATTAATTATTTTATAATATTATTTTGTTATTTAGCGTCTTTTTGGGACCCTAAGTTATGGGATTTCTGGTGCCATTCTTGGATTTGTGGTGGATAGATTTAAATCTCTTTATGTTATGTTTTTCTCATATGGATTTTTCATGGGAATGTTTTTATTAGTTCTAAATTTAATACCTTGGAGGGATTTTAAAATAGATCATCATGATGAACTAATTACTGACAATATAGACCTCGACCAATTTGGACGTATGTCAAATGAATCCTCCACACAAATTGTAGATACAAAGATCATGGAAACAACACCGCCACCTTTCATGGAATCGTTTCTTAAACTTATTACAAAACCACGATTATTATTATTTCTTTTTGTGCTGCTTTCGACACGTACGATGAAAATGTCAACGTCAACATTTCTTTATGTATACTTATCAGGTTATATATATATATTTTTTTTTTTTAAAAAAAAAAAAAAAAAAAATCATTTTTGTCAGTATACGATTCGTAACCTAACAATTATGTACAAAATTAGAGGACCTTAAAGCT